TATCTCATCCAGTAATCGTCTTGTGATTGGCCTGTTTAATTTTTTTGTTTAATTTGTTTAATTTGTTATAACACCCCCCCCTGTCCGAGCTCAAAAGTTGACGTTAACCGAAGAATCAACTTCAAGCGGCCTTAGTACAGTAAGGAAAGGTCTTCCACTCCAACCCAAAAATATAAATAAGAAAGTATACAATTAACCAATCAAATAAAAACAAAATGTTTAATTTTATCATGTTTTCTTAATCTGTTTTATAAGCAATCTATGAGAAGACAATTCACAAATTATACAATTCATACAATTCAATTTTATTATATTTTTGATATTTAATGCCTATTTTTAATAATCACCAAAATCAAAAAATTCGATCGGGGTAAAATCGCCACCCAAAAAGGTTTCAAACATCACGTGACAAATATCGAGCACCAACAATTCATGTAACTCTAACTAAAACAAACAAAAAATTTATAGACTGACAAAATAATAACGATAAGCAAAAATTTAATCATTTTAATTATTTCGATAAATGTAATATTTATTACAACCAGAAAGTATTATGGTTACGGGTTTTCTAAGTATTTAGAATATTCCATTGTCTTTTAAAATGAGTATAATCCTCCACCAATTTATGCAATAGTTCAAAACTTTTAGTAATGCTTTGTTAATATTTGATTCATTATGTTTTCTTCAATAATTTTTTTTTTGCTGCGTTCTAGATTCAGAATTATAAAAACCTTTTGCTTAAATAAATAATCAATTATAGTCTTCCGGAAGATCATTAAAAATAAAATCTACAAGCTTTTCTGCAATTGCATTTTCTTGATTAGTTTTTATAATTTTATTTCGATTTTCATTATTTTTTTTTTCGTTTATTATTAGTGGAAATTTGGTTACAGCAATCAATATATATTTTTAGAATATTGTGTTTATTGAATTTTATGCTTTTAAAAGAATCACTTGGTTTGTCGAGATTGCAACGATCGCTTTTCATTTTGAAGTTCGAAGAAATAAATTACTAAATCAATTATGATTCTAATCAACAATATTGATATTACATGATTTTCAAACCTTTTTTGGGTGGCGATTTTACCCTGGTCCAAAATTGTTACTCGATTTTGATTGGCTAACGGCCGAGGATCTTCAAAATTTTGGCCTGCTTTACATAATTGTTTACTAATTTCCAGCCGGAATTAACTTTTTACAAAAATATAAATTTTTAAAAAATAAGCTCGCATTATGGTAAAATTGACCCAGGAACAATTTCACTTAATAGGCGGCTATGATTTCATTAGTAAAATTCCGAATATTTCCAGCCTAATTTTTTTGCACATCGCTCTTTAGCCAATCAAAATCGAAAATCTGCTATGACAATTTTGTTCGGCAGTTATTGCAAAATTGAATTCAATAATTGCAATTAATTATTACATGCCATAGCTTAAATTTATTGCATGTGAATTACAAAAAAAAAATTGCTATGTATCAATAGTTATTTCCTTGGAGATAAAATTATAGTGTGTTTACCGTTATCAAACCTTAGAATAATACAATAATAAAGATTATGCATCATGCATAAAATTTGAAAAATCGCTAATTTGCTTATAAATAGCTGTATGTTGTTAGTGAATTTATTCTTTTATAACTAATATAACTTTTGCCAAAATTATTTTCAATGCCTCCTAAAAAAGCTGGTTTAAAACAAAATTTGATTATCTCTAAGAAAGAGACTATATCTGCGGGCAAAAAAGCACTTACGTCCTCAGATAAAAAAACACAGCTTTAATCGAAAATAAGAAGACCCATAATGATCAGAACAAGATTGACAAGAGTCATGATCCTGTTGAAAGCTTTAATTATAACGATGTTAATGACTTTAATAAAGTATTTCGAATGCGATGCAGTCATTCTCGATCACCGCTCTCTCAATCAAGAGATTCTCTGTCGAAACGTTCTCGTTCTCAATCACCACCCTCTCAATCAAGAGATTCTCTGTCGAGATGTTCTCGTTCTCGATTACCGCCCTCTTAATCAAGAGATTCTCTGTCGAGACATTCTTGTTCTCGTTTACGATATTCTTCTTTACAATGTTCACATTCACGCTACTCTCCCTTATGACGTTCTCGTTCTCGTTCATGACACTCTCCTTTACAATATTCTCGTTCATGATATCCTTCTTTACAACGTTCTCGTTCACGACAGCGTTCCCACTCATGATACTCTCCCTTACGACATTTTCGTTCACAAAGTCGATCACAGCCCTTTCGAATTCAGCCTAATAACCGCAAGACAATCTTATTTGAGTCTGATTATGAAGCTGTAGCATATGTTGCTGAAAGACCAGAACTTTTAAAAATTGCGGTACAAATGGCTCAGTATGATGGCCTTAAAGTGTCTGACAATGAAGAAAAAACTACAGTTCTTACTCAACTAGTAAGATGTCCTATCTCTTATTATATGATTATTATTAAAAATTTTTTTCTTACATAACATTATCTTTAGGAATCAGTGAAATTCCAAACCTTTTTTTGTTAGGACGCGACATCTTACAAAAGCAATAATTCTTAAATGTATCAAATTATGCTTTCCGTCCAAAAAGTTTTCTCATAAAAATTTATCTGTTTTAAAAGGTGCTGCCAATGCAGTATTTCGATTTTATAGAGAAGCACTTCGAAGTGGCTTTAGAAAAATTGCTGAACATTTTATTGATGATTTTAGGTAAGTAAAAAAAATGCATTTAGTTTACTATAAAACTATTATAAATATTTAAATTTTAATCTATAGAATCGAAAGTTTTTCTCAAATTGTAAAATCCGATATTCAAGATTATCTTCAGGAAGAGGTATGGCGTTCATTTCTCAATCGCTTCTATGAAGCGATCGATGAAGAAGCAACACTTACAACTGAATTTAAAGAAACATGGCAAACATTTATGTCGAAATGTTTTCTGAAAATGGTTGAAGAAATGTTGGACAAAGAAAAAAAACTTATTAGAATCACGGACTTAGACCGCCTTACTTTGAATTGTGATATATATGATGCTGGAGGCACATTAAACCTTAATGATACTAGTTTTAAGGTGCTTCTAAAGAAAGAATTGGATGGTAAAGGGAATCAGGCACAAGTATTGCAATAACACTCTTTTTCACTATCTTTACCATTTGCATATCTTGTGACATGGTTTTCTAAGTTCATTTATCACGATCATAATTGAAGATAAAATAGTGAATAAGCAATACTTAATAATTAATGATGCAACATGTGTTATCAATAAATATATAATGTAAATCATCAAAGTTAAAATGGAATTGGGATAGAGAATCTTTTACAAGTTTCATATCAATTTGGCCAAAAAATTTTACACATTTTATGCGAAACCTTCACATTTATTTAGATATATAACTCCATAAATTTTATTACCTTAGAAGAGTAAATCTATGTATTAACTTATATTTGTATATACAATATCTAGAGTATCTTCTTACTAGTTACTAAATAAATTAAATCTAATACTATTCGATATACCAAAATTACAAATATACATACCTGGTATATACAGTACCAGTATTACATTAATGTATTCATAGTCAAATAGAGGAATTTTCCAAAATTATGCAAGGATCATCATTATTACAGATATTTCTTGTATTTGCAAATTAACTATTACCTCATTAGTAAAGCTAAATCTATGTAATTGATCAACATATAAATAAATAAAATAATCGATAATAATTAACTCGTTGCGCAAATGACTGCAATAAAATTTATATTTTAGAGTTCAATTATTTGAATATTAAGAACACTACTTAACCGGTTGCACTACTTTTGAAATGACTCATATTCGCACTTTGAAACAAAAAATTGTAATTCATCCAGACAGAGTAAGACGTCCTCGCCTAAATACTTACAAACAAGCTAAGCTTGCAAATAATCTCCAAATTAACAATAACCTTAAGAACAATGAAGATGTTTCAATTAATAACGATTTTGAAGATAGTAATAAAGATGGTGACTTTAAAGACTTGCCAATTAATAATGATAGCTTCGAAGATGATAACATAGACGGCAGTCTTGAAGACATTTCTAATGACAATAGTGGCGATGACCTTGAAGATATGTTAATTAACAACGTTGAACTTGAGGAAAGCAATAATGACTTTGAAGATAGTAATGATGACCTTGAAAATTATAGTAATAACTTTTCAATTAATGATGACAGTCCATTTACTCAAAAAATAGCAGATGAGCCTGCATCCTTTGAGCCATTTTATGGCGAATATGGTCCATACTTCCCTAATTTTACTGAACAAATGCTTTTTTTATAGGTCACTAAACATATGATATGTAAGTAGTTTGTTATAAGGTGTTTTGATTTCATATAACATGTATTTTATGAGATTAATTTGAAATATTTTTTTCCTTTTTTTCGATTTCTTGATTTTATTTTTATACCTTTAAGCCACAAAAGCATATGAAGATTTGACTGTAATTATCAAGCATCCACGATTTCAATCTCACTACGCACCCGAAAACGTAAGGCGTCTTAGATTTCAGCGAACAAGAATGCCTCTATTAAATATAAAAAGCCACCTTATCCCCATTGATGATCGAAAGACACCTTCCACATTAAAACAAGTCAAAGCTGTCTATACAATTTCAATAAAAGAACATCTTAAACATGTGTTGAATAACCCACGATTAATGGCGAAGATGTATTTTGGCCGCGGTATTGAAAGCCAAGAAAAATCTGAATTATATATCTGGCAACGATCTCCTTTATATGGAGATACAACTATCATCATAAATAATAGTAAGCCAATCTCGATAATTATTTCAACTAATATTAAAAATTGGATATGCAGTCGTCCCTCATTAATATCAATCTATCTGGATCGCTTTTATATTCATGTTGATAGTGATATTAATGAGGGAACATATTAAAGTTGATATATACCAGTATGGAGAATTTTAATTCATTTTAACATATAGAAATTCATTTATAGCTTCGGTTAGAGATTGGACCCGTTAAAAAAATCTCTACCCAGGTATTATTAAATTACCCAGGTTATCCGGTTAAATTATTATATATTTCGGATAATCGTATAGTAACAATTTCTACCCGGGTCCAATCCCTAGCCTCTGTTGATATTAACAGGTTGATATTAGTGAGGAATGACTGTATCTACTATGATAATTTAAAATTTTTGTGCCATTTTTTTTTTTATAGTATAGAAAAATGGAAATGAGTTTATAAACATCAGTAACTTTTTTTTTATTGACTTCTAATTTTTTTTCAGTTAAATATGCCATTGGTCAATTTGTAGAATTTATCTACACAAATAGCAAGAATCAACATGAAAGGCGATTCAGAAGGATTGAAGCTATTATCTTATTTTTGCTGCCATCTATCTCTGAACATCCAAATAATCAAATGCAAAGCGCTTTAAAAATGTCAAGGTTTTTAAAGCACAATGAATTAGGAATTCATTGCAATCAGGATAGAAACCGGCAAGGACACAAGGAGCTCTGGATGATAAAAGATGATTATCAAATTATTCCTCTCAATCATATATTAAGGCATGTTTCAATATGGCTTAAGGACATTTCTCAGCCTACGTCTTATGATTTTTGTGTATCTGAAATTCTATATCGTGATGCCGTTATGAAGCGAATTCAAATTCGACCAGTAAAGTTTCGTCACCATCATCCTTCTGAATACATTACTCCGAATCCACCGCCTTTGCATAATATGAAAACATTCAAGTTCATGATTAACATCTATAACGATGATTTCGGAACCTATCGCAATGCCTACCACTTATTAGGAGGCATCTATATTCAAATAGGCAATATACCTTTAAATTTACGAAAACAATTAAAAAACCACTTTGTTGTTGGATTTGTCCCTTTTGGAGGTCATTTTGATGATGCTATGCGTCCTCTACTTCAAGAACTCCATCAGTTGGAAAAAGGTGTCATGATGAATATGAATGAAGAATCTGTTTGGGTTATTGCTTCAATTGGGCTAGTAACAGCTGATTTACCTCAGATAGTGATAAGTTCAGTTTAAACTAACCAAATTATGATATAGAATCAAAGAAAGGTTTAACTTTAAAGATTTTAAAATTTGTTTAAACAAAATTACGGTTCATGAAAGGAATATTTTAATTAATATTGTTTAATATTTCAATTTATATTTTATTGTATATAAGTTAGATTAATCAAATCAAACTGTACACATTTTATTCTAGAGGAACGAACTCAGTGATGTTAAGAAACAAGGCGCCCACTACGGATGTCGAAACTGCCTTGTTCCGAAGGATTGGGTGACCGATACCACCTTTGATAGGATATATGGTGCACGGTTTCATCATATCACGCAAGAACTTTTTATTGAATTACAAACGTTAATAAGCCAAAATGTGACTAAGTCAAAAATTAAAAAGTTTACAAGACGTCATGGCCTCTGATCGAAACCAGGCATTTTATCAACTTTATCTCGAGACCGTCATTTATAACCTCCTCATGACGCCTATCATGCAGTTGCTGGAAAGATTCAAAGATTGTTAGAACGTACTTTTAACTTGTTAAATGAAAATGGGAAAACCCAATTTTTAAAATATTGGAAACATTTTGAAAAGCCTTCAATTTGGTATCGTTTGCCTAATCCTATAACCCATCTTAAAAGTTTCATGTTTTCAGACACATTATGGTTATCTATGATAATACCATTTATTTTAAGACGTTGTCTAACACTAGACTGCATTACTTTAAATGAGCTTACAGCTTTATGTGACCGTTTGTCATCTAATAATCGAAGACGATCTACCAAACAAGCTATTAATGATATCATCTCGTGCTGGGTAACTATATCAGATGGTGCGGTATATTGTTTTAAAATAAAGCTGACCCAAAGTGACCTAAACCATCTTCAACATCTACTTGTGAAAGAACATAGCATGTTATTAAAGGTATTGTTAATTTTATTATATTATATACAGTCAAACTTCTCTAAATGCAGCCGCCTAAATGCAAATGCATGTCGTCACTTGGGCCCAACGAATATAATGCTTATAGAATTTTTACCTCTTAAGTACAATATCTCTTTAAATGAATATTTGATTCAATTTTTACATATGGCTCCATCACAATATATTTAGAGAGGTCAGACCGTAGTAAATGTTTTAAAGGCTTTTTAATATATTTCTAATATTTTTTTATAATTATGTAGCTATTTCCCAACAATTTTGAAAATTTACCAAATCTCCATGTTGATTTTCATTTAGTACAAAATTGCAAAAATTATGCAACGTTAATTAATACAAATTGTGCTGTTAAAGAAATAGTATATAGACTTTCCAAACAAGCTGTTCTCAAAACTAACTGGAAGAATATTGAATTTGATTTAATACGCCGTACCAACGTCTTGCAAGCTATCCGATATTTAATGGATGGTGGAACTGATTATAGATTTAATGAAAGTAATGTTGGAAGTGGCTTAAGATGTATCTTTACAGATCAACATCTTCAACCTCTTCTCACAGGATGGTATATAACTGAAGACTTATATTCTGAAAACATTTTTGAAGAAGGTAATTTCTCTAAGGCAACACAAGGTTGATTTTCGTTTTGCATAATCTGATGTTTCGTCGATGATCAGATTTTTTTTTTATATTAATCATTATTAATTTAATTCATGAGTTTTCATGTTTAACGATACTATACTTAATCACGTGACAAACTTAGTAATAGCTGGTGTCTTTAACCTGGGTTAAAGTAGAATTTCCCATAGACTTCTTTTTTTTGAACTAGATTCTTATTTTTAAAATAATTTATTATTATATATATACAGTATATATGAGTTGGCGGGTTATGCAAAACGAAAATTTAACTATGACCGAATGTTGGGTTTATTTTTTAATTTTTTTTTTTTTTTTATATTTGATATCTAATAATACTCTTTAGAAATGGGTATAGTTTCAGAAGACTCCAGAATTATCAATATTCAAGTTCGACAACAACTAACTAATGTCGAAATTCAAAAATTGCGATTAGCAAGTCACATTGATGATAATACTACCTTAAAAAATGATCTTTTTGTGGCATATTCTGAATATATGAACCAGCGTAGATATATTATAACACACATTATTAAACTTTACCGATACATTCGATATACACTTTTAAATAATGATGGAGAATTCTATTTACATATCAAGATTCATATTGGCGATATTGTAACTATAAAGGAAGAAAATGACAAATCCTATGCTATTGTTAAAGCAATCTTTACTCACAAGTATAATGATGGGCATGTGTATGCCTTTGTTTGGATTGATTGGTTAAAAAATACTAAGCGTGCCGATTCTCTTTTAAGATATCCAATTTTTGAAAAACAGACGATTCAGATACAAAATGGTATCGAATTTATCCAATTTCAGTTCTTAATGACATTCCAAAAATACACTTTGTACACACATGCCAGTTGTCTTGTTCAGCAGAATCTCATGATAATACCAATATCCAATACTTCATGAATAAATTTTTTTATAAGACGGTTTAAAAGAAGGATGGTTTAATGAAATAAATTAATTCTAATACACTAATAAATTTATATATATAGTATATTATATAGTAATTCATACTTCGGGTTTATGAAATGTCTTAATAATTACTCTCTAAATGTAATTTGAAAAATGTTATCGTTAATATAATTTGTACTGTTTCTGGGCATTAATCTAAAATTTAGAATTTATTATTTTGTTAAATTTTAAATTACCCTTTTAAAAAAGCTACTGTAGCTAAAGTTTTTTTATCATTGGTAACTGGTATAAGTAACGATTTCAACAGTGAAAAAGTGGTAACTAATATTGAGGTATTAGTGAAGGCAGACAGAGCCAACAATGGTAGAAGCATAATGGGTCTCATGCTACTGCGGCAATTACTGGCTATGCAGTTAAATGCCTTTGTTTTGTTTGCTCAATTCTACTTATTCTATTTTCTCTTTACTATAGCACTATCAGTTACTATAGTACACTATTCTCTGTTCTAGTACACCGGGGTCTCAATTTCTGGGTCACCTTTTCAGAATCATGTGTCACGCGATCACAGTTCAGGTTTTATATAAATATAAAGATTTTACACTGATTACTGCTACTAATTCTCTTTCCTGACAAATTATGATTTAATGGTTTACAAACAAGAGAAAACTATTAGAGTATTACACTTATACTGGACTTTGGTGAAGTTATTAACTCGACAAGTTGATTATTTGGAAAGAAAAGGCTTTTATGGTTTTGCTCTCTATAATTCTCTTTTATAGTCACATTTGCTTATATAATTACATGAATTTTTAAAACCAACTTATATAATACCTATAAAATTTAATCTCTATATAAGTACAACCTCTCTATAAGCACCAAATTTCTAAAACCAAGGGTTTGATTATAGAAAGGTTTGACTGTATTTCACTAAATTTACATTTTCTAACTACAGTGCCAATTTCTTTTTCCTTTTACACCAGCTAAAACCAACATTTCTCTGTTTGAGTTTTATTAAGAAGGACAATAATATGAACGATAATTAAAAAAAAGAAACAAAGCCTTTTACAATGGTTAAGAAGAGTTTAACTCAATTCGATGAACACTTAATTATAACTCAGGTATGACATACGTACTGTTATAGAACCGTTTATTATTTTATTAGATTATTATTCCGATATTGTATAATTATTATTATTATTATTTTATT